GCTCAGACGTCAAGTGTGGCTCTCTTGACCATAAAAAAGACGAATTAACTTAATAATTCTAGTCACTTTGTTCTTTTGAAATTCTACAGCCATTAGCTATCTTGTAATGAGACTATTAATCCCGGCTTAGGGTAAAACCTTGTCGTTTATCTATAGTTTAAAGAAACAACAGGAAGTCCTGTATGAACTACTTACTTTGTCAAATAACTATCGCTGTTTGTCATTCATGAGGCCACGCACAAGCCGTCTGTCTGGAGTTCCAAGGCAAGCTGTCCACAAGCCGCTGCTGCACGAGGAATTAAGAATGCGGTCGTGGATGCCCTGAGTAATCGTATATCTACAATATACTGAAGTGTTTTTATATGTCCATTGTTGTTAGTCTAAATAAGGGGAGGAGTTAATCACTGACACTGTCAGTACATCAATGTCATCAAGTAACAAAAACGGGATTAARACCGATGGATTATATCAGCAACATTTCAAGGGATCTCTCTTAAATGTTTTCTCTTCTGTAGGAAGTGAGATTGACGGCTCTTTGTTCATCTCATGGCTTATTAACTTAGTGTAGTCGTCAAAGAAAATGCATGTATTGTATGAGGATCTAAAACGTCAAATACGTGTTATCATGCTTTAGTACCTGGTAAATAAAACTCGTGAAACAGCCATTCCTAAAACAGGTTTKAAAAGCAATGCAAAGCACTTGTCAAAAAATGTTTCCGCATAATTGGACTCCTTTTATAGCCACTAATTCATTTGAATTGAAAAGCAATTTTTTACGCATTTGTGGTCGTAGATCTCAGTAGGACATAATTAAGTAACATACTAATAACACAGGACTCTTCAACATTAAAACTCGATCGATTTTTCGGGAAATTTCGGTTTTTATTTGTCAACATTKTTTCCTGACTTGTTAACTACTAGAAAAAGGGAGTTGATCTTGAAGGCTATAAGTTTGTTTGGGGCGTGAACTTTGAGTAAATACATTTGGACCACACATTCTAGACCTTGTTATATGATATGATGGTGTGTTCATGGCATGTAAAAAGTACAGAAAGCTCAGTATTACATTATTATATCCTCGTCTGGTTATGATAAATACTTCAGTTATTGCATTAACAATTTTGAGTGATGTGATTAGCGATTGACGAGTACAATTGATGCAATGGATCTCAAGAGGGATGGAATATCCGGAAGGATCCTGACAACATTTCATCTCACTTTACTAACTTCAATGCGTCCTATATCCATATACCATACACCAACTATTTAATGTACATTGAATAGGCTTTTCTTTGAATTACCCACGCTCCACTCCCTCCGCTAGTTTAACCGATAACTTGGGACTATTAAGTTCATTGTTTGTTTGCATTCCATAAAATGTCAAATTGTCCGAAACATTTTCATGGATAGCCGTTTTGCCAATCAGTTTGTTTCAGGAATGTAAATCCATCCCTGAAAAATGACAGAAAAAAGAGTACGATACATAGCTTTGGATGTCAGATGTGATTGATAAATAAAGGAATTCACTTCACCTTCCTTGACTATGCTCAAACAACAAAGCGTATGAAAAGAAAATAAGCATTTTTTTAACCTTCATCTGTTCAGAAATGGACCTCTAGAGTGCCGAAGACGGTATCACCTCTCATTCACAAAACAATTTCTTTGTTTTAAATATGTATATTGTGGATTTAAGTAATCCTTTTGATGGTTGTTTTATGAATAATGATGTTTTTTTTTTTCATGCTCGCTGAATATCACTAACGTATCTTGATCCAAAAGTAAGGCACTTCAYATATCATGCAAGTCAGGTTATTACATGTAACCATGTATTATGAATGATAACGGTAACAATAGGAGATTTATAGTGCAGTACAATTCTAATTACTAAAGTACGGGTCAACGTAAGGTGYCATGGTGATGATCAATGGATTGTTAGAAACAATTATCAACTTTTCTCTTAGTTGATTGACAGTTTCAATGTACTCTCAACGGTTGTTTGTTTTGAATACCACGTCCCAAGTATAAAGTGTCCACATAATGAAATGAAAGGCAGATAGTGCACGTTTGAAYGTGCCAGCAGAGGAGAGAACCGAGGATTCCACAGTCTTCCCCCTCCTGTCCACTCAAGAAGGTGCCTTTGCTYATCACCACCCTTTATTAACTGAACATCTTTTTCCCGTGAAGTAGGAGGACAAACAGTGACAAAGTGGTCTTTCGTGATTGCGGCTTTAATAATTAATTACATGGGCTTCCTGTGGAAGACCATTATACACTCGGGGTTCGGTAAATCTAGTAGTGAATCATAATATTGGATTTAGGGGAGACTTATGCTGAACACACACTAAAAACACTGAAAAATAAAACACATACAAAAATCATCCGGAGGCTAAGCTTTAGAATACCCTGTCATTTTATAATTATCAAAATTCACTG